TTCAGTTTCAGTCTTCGACGTTTGCTGAAGGATCTTTGGTGTGAGTGTTGTTTTCTTGAAGTATCGTTGTCTCTGAATGAATTACAAAACATGTTCTTCAGCGATCACTGAACATGCTCAGTGTATTGATCGTTGGAACTGAAAATACAGAAACTAAAATACATCGAAAGGAAAAAAGGATTATCATTAAATCACTGAGAGAGAGGATCAACAGATAATGATTTGGGTGAACTAAATATGTATGTGCATACTAACTTTATGACTGCATGCCCCGCAATGATGTCGAAGATTTTGAAAAAAATTGATTTATTAGATTTTTGGAAACAAAAACAACCTCAATTCCCGATTTTGGAGTGCATCGCACGTGATGTACTAACAATCCAAGCTAGTACTGTAGCTTCGGAGTCTGCTTTTTCTCTTAGTGGAAGAATCATTTCGATACGTCAGATAAGACTAAGCCCAGAGTCCGTGGAGTGTTGCATCTGCTTGAAGGATTATTTGGATAGCATTGATAGGATTCAACACACGACATCGTTAGAGATGGAGATTGAAGCGGTGGAAGAAAATCTGGAAGAAAATGAAATCTTCATGGGACTAAGCTCGCCGCCAACTACCAATACCGACGACACTTACTCACAATATGGCGATGATGAGGAACTCAACATTCATGACCTTGATAACCAAGAGGCTATTAAAAGAATTTAAGAGACCAGAACTCTTCAAATCAATCCGACATGAGATACCGATGAAGATTGATGAATAAATGTATTTTCAAATAATTTTATAATAAATTTTTGTAAAACAATGTAATTTAAATTATAATAAAACGTATTTTTAAAGTGTATTTGAATGACTCGTATTTTTAAGGTGTATTTTAAACGTATTTATAATAAAACGTATTTTTAAACGTATTTATAACAAAACAAATTTAATAACATATTAAAAATCTATATCATAAAAAAATTAATTTAATTTTTTTTTTGAATAGAACCGGCTTGGGACCGGGACCAGGACCGGCTTGACATAATCGGTTATAGGTTGTCTTGACCGGTTATAGGTATTTCGACTGGAACCGGAACCGGTTAGAAAAGGACCGGTTATGGCCGGGTGAAGGGGACCGGATTTTGGCCTCACTACTTCAAAGCAAGATTAATTTGGGCCTGCAAAAGGCCGAATTACTGGGTGAAGGCCCAGCCCGGCCATTGAAGAGCGAATCAGCATATTACAATTACATATTTACAATTTTGCATTCATCACACAAATTATCTTGTTTGTGTTAGGTTTCATGAAGACAGCAGAAAGGCCTCAATGATTAGGATTTAAATCCTATTCAAATGGTAGTTATTCAATGAAGAATGAGCAAATTATCTCTACTCAAATCCTCAACTCCCTCTGCAAGGATAATCTCAAATCCTAATCGTTCGTTAATTCCAACTAATAATCTTCTTGGACACCCACCAACTGCCACCTCGCTCTCGCTGCTCCTTCAATCTTACATAAACTCAGACACCCCTTTCCATGGCCAAAAGATTCATACCCATATTATCAAAACTGGGTTCCCATCCAATACAAACATTTCCATAAAACTTCTCATTTTGCATTTGAAATCTTCTTGTTTGTTATATGCGCGCCAAGTGTTCGACGACCTGCGTCAACCAACTCTGACCGCTTATAATTACATGATAGCGGGGTATACAAAACATGGTCAAGTGGGAGAGTCGTTTAATTTGGTTAGAAGGCTTGTCTCGTGTAATGAAAAGCCGGATGAATATACATTTTCCATGATTTTGAAGGCTTCTACCAGTGATAGTGTATTGCTTAATGGATGTTGGATTGGAAAGGAGGTTCATGGCCAGATTATGAAATCTTATGTTGTAGTGGATGATGTTCTTTCTACTGCTTTGGTGGATTCGTATGTGAAGAGTGGGAGGGTCGATTATGCTAGGAGAGTGTTCGATTTCATGATGGAAAGGGATGTAGTTTGTTCTACTTCACTGATTTCTGGATATATGAGACAAGGTTTTGTGGAAGATGCTGAGGACATATTCAAGAAGACGATCGAGAAAGATGTGGTGGTCTTTAATGCCATGATTGAAGGCTATAGCAAATCGATTGAGACTGCCAAGAAGGCCATCGAGATTTACATAAGCATGCAAAGATTGGATTTTAAGCCTAATAAGTCCACATTTGCCAGTATCATTGGAGCCTGTTCTCTATTATCAGCATGTGAAGTTGGGCAACAGGTTCAAGGCCAACTCATGAAGGCCGAGTTTGCAACTGATATCAAAATGGGAAGTGCTCTTGTTGACATGTACTCAAAATGTGGAAGGATTGAGGATGCCCGAACAGTTTTTGACTGCATGCCTGTAAAGAATGTGTTTTCTTGGACTTCAATGATAGATGGGTATGGGAAGAATGGTGATCCAAGTGAAGCCCTTAACCTCTTTGGTCAAATGCAAAACGTCTTTCGCATTAAACCCAATCATGTTACTTTTCTTGGTGCTCTTTCAGCTTGTGGGCATGCTGGGTTGGTTAGTAAAGGACAAGAAATTTTTGAAATCATGGAGAAAGATTACTCCATGAAACCAAACATGGAGCACTATGCTTGTATGGTTGATCTACTGGGCCGAGCAGGAAGGCTAAATCAGGCATTGCAGTTTGTAATGGCAATGCCTGAGAAGCCTAATACTGATGTTTGGGCTGCATTGCTTAGTTCTTGTAGACTACATGGTGATGTAGAGATGGCAAGTATTGCTGCCAATGAGCTTTTTAAGTTAAGTCGTGATGGTAGACCTGGAGCATATGTTGCATTATCAAATACTTTAGCAGATGCAGGGAGATGGGACAGTGTTAGTGATGTCAGGGTACTAATGAAGATGAGAAACATATCTAAAGAAACCGGTTCCAGTTGGGTTGGGACGGATGATGGTTTAGAGTGTCTGCATGCTACACAGAAAGTTTGAACCAGTGTAATATACAAAGTGAAAGGTACTCCTCTAATTGTTGTGGAAGTGAATCTGATTTTAAATTTATTATCACACAAAGATTAATAGGGAAAATTTCGCTTATTTCGATACCTGACTTCTGTTCTCCATCAGACATTGCACTCTCTAACCTGCCTTGTTAATTCTCTATTCTATATCCTCTAGTGCAACTACAAATACAGTTTCTCTGCTGTAACAGAACATGGTCTGATTTGCAGTAGAAACTCTGTAGTAATACTTGCATCAACAAACAACAGATAGTTGGATATCAGCTATCACAATACTTACCATTTAAAAAGATGAAGTGATTATTTAGTTGCAAGGATATTAGATGTGATGTTTGGTCATGTTTGCCGTCATGATTTGTTATTGTTGCTTTTCATATTTGTGACTTTAATATCTGGCCCTCAATTTACATGAATACTCACTACCTCTTCAGGGTGAGCTACAGCATTAGTAGTTTGCACTCAGACCTCTAGGGAGAAAGGTCTTCTGATTCAAACAAGCCTTGTTATTAGGAGTTCATTGTGTATACACAGTAAAAGGTTTTTACACAAGAGGCTTTAATTTAGTGGACACTTGGTTAAATTTTAAGGCTTCTTGTGTAAAAAATTATGCATACTCTGAGTACTAAGTTTGCATCATTGCTTATATTTCTAGACATACCTAGCTAGAGAATGTAGCTGTTGAAGTTGGTTTTAGAATCTTATTTCGTTTAGCAAGTGTTTGATATCATCTTTACTATAATTCCCTGTCAAGTAGAACTATTAGACCAAGTCCTGAACTTGTAGTATGATCATAATGACATCCATTATACATTGGCTTGGATTTTTATCATTTATGTATGCATTTGCTTTTTCCTTCACATTTAGGCATTATAAAGTACAAGGGTGATGATTAGAAAACTAATCTATTCCAATTATTAGTAAGTTATCAAAAAATTAGAATGTGAAATGTGCAACGTGCATCTGCATAACCATGGCTGACAATGTAAGCATGGAGCAATAGAAGCAAAATGAGAAGGGAAGAAAACACGCAACATTTCATCAATAGTAAGGTGGCCCCCTGGATACATCTGGCCTGGTGGGCCTCTTGGACCAACGTGGTGCATTTGTGTTGGCTAAGTCGAAGACAGACCATAATTGCCACCATCTGGGTATCCTCTTGAGGTCGGGGGCATTTTTATTCATAGACGACCCAATTTTTTTAGCCTAGGATACTCCCCAGAGGCAGCCTCACCTCCAAAATGTGAGCCACTGCTGAATCCACCACCACCACCACTACCAAAAGAGGGCGGCACCTGATTACTGAATCTCTGACCACCACCAACTGCTGAACTTCATCTGTGGGTATTGATGAGAAGGCATTCAAGAACCAAAAACAGAATACTAATGAAATCACCTGTCTGTCTGTCTGTCAGTCGGTCATAAGGCCAACGTACCTCTCGTCTTCTTGAAACTGGAAATAGAGTCAACAACTGTTTTTGAAGCCCGTGGTTATTGTCTTCTTTTGAACGTCATTACCAAAGTTTGTAGTGTATTGTCATTCCACAATGCATATATATTTGATTAAAAAGAAAATAATGTGACAGATGCATGTTTATTATATTGAATTACAGATGTACTTTTCCTAATCCAGTTTTAATGCTTCTTTCCTCTGCTTTATATATGAATACTATATATCATGGTGGCCTGCTCGGTTTTTATGTGGTCATGGAACTTTTATTCAATCTATTGGCAATGTATCTCCTTCATTTTTCTGACACGGCTTTATAAGAAAACTACAAAATTACAAGATAGTGTCGTGATCTACTCCACAACTTTTTTACATGGATGGGATTTATATTGTTTCTCGCGAGGTGCAAGTTTTATACATCTTACGCGGGAGGAACGAGTATTATATGATATATGTACATACATATATACATACAACATGCACATGGTGTAATTTCAGTGGGAAGCCCATTGATTAGGGGGTTGAAATAACATTAGTGGACAAATGGTACCAGAAAAGCATAATTTCAAGTATTAAAGTATTTAGGTTCCATGATTTAGACAAAAGTCGGAGAGCTCAATTATGACGTAACTAATCACATGAAGACAGGGTGGCTGAAGTGGACAGTTGTCATTGGACTGCCATGTCACAAGTTCCTTCTAAGACCGGAAGTCCTAAAATTGAAAGACATTCTGTGTGTTAGCCTTCAGACCAATTATGGTCTATGAATCAAAGCGTTTGAGCGATAACAAAGGTCCTTGAGAATAAGTTAGAAATTGTAGAAATGAAGATACTTAGGTGGATATGTGGAGAAACAAATGTTAAAAACGATACTAAACAAGGTCTTTAGCACGGAGTTGTGAGTTGCACTCGTTATAAAACATTGAAAGAGAAGATTGCAGTGGTTCGGACACATTCGTATAAGATCTATGACAATGAAGATGGTAGAGAACATGATAGTTGAGGTGTGAGGAAGGGTAGACAGAGCAGTTGAAGAGGAACATAACGACTTTAAAATATGGAAATGTAATTGTTTTATTAAATAAACAGTAAATTACAAATTTCGTCCCTGTGGTTTGCTTTGCTTTGCTTTGCTTTGCTTGTAGTCCCTGGACCCTAAAATTCATGAATAGAATCCCTGTGGTTTATGATGGAGGTCCCTGAAGCTTACTTTTGTTAAAAGACTTGGTTAAGTCAGAGGTGTTTTCGTCAATTTACAATATAATTCATTTTATATTAAAAATTAGATTATCAATATATTAGTATAAGTATAACATTTATAACATATCTATGTGTGTAGCACGTGAAAAAATATCCCTTGCCCTTTTCTCCAGCGAAGACAATCTCTCCTCCTTCCTCTTTTTTGTTGCATTTGGTACATGGGACATGGGACAAAACTTACCGTCCACGTTTGGTGCAGCATAAGACAGAACAAAAACTCACTGTCCCATGTTTGACATGACTTGGACAGGGACAAGAACTGAGATAAGGTGGAACAACATGAGACAAAAGATGTTTTTTCTTGTTCCACCAAAATAGGTGGAACAAATTGGAAAAAGAACGAGACAAAAACTAAAATATTACTAATGTACCCTAGTTTGATATATAACCTTAATATGACATTTGTTTTTTTTTATTAATTTTGATATCCAACCCGTTATGCGAGCCGACTAATCCCAGGGTGACCACCTGCTTTGCAGATAGCCCGGAGTTACCACATTTGAACCTCCGTGGCCACAAGGGGATTTTTATTTCTCCTTGGATTTGAACCTGTGACCTCCTGGTACTTTTGACCTTTGGAGCCAAGCTCAAACCAATCAGGCACCACCCTTGTGGTTGACATTTGTTTTAATGGTCATCACCACTAGTTTTGGCGCCGCCACCACCGATGGTCAATGGCGGCCACCTCAACCTCTTCTTCCACTACAACAACATCCTCCACCGCCTCCACAACCACCGTCCACGTCGTCCATCTCCACCTCTACCATAGTCGAACACCAACCACCACCGTTCAATGCCACCACCATCACCACCACCGGTCGCCACCTTCAACTCCTCTACTACAACAACCTCCTTCACCACCTCCACAACCGTCGTCGACCACCGACTACCACCGTCTATTGCCACATTTACAACCACCATCGGCCACCGACCACCATAACCTATTACCACCAACACTACCACCGTTGGCCACCTCCAACTCCTCTTATACCGCAACAACCTCCTCCATGGCCTCCATAACCACTGTCGACCACCATTGTCCATTGCCACCTCTACAACCACCCTCGGCCACTGTTCATCACCTTCCATTGCCACTACCACTACAGCACCACCACCACCGTTGATCACCTCCAACTCCTCTTTTACTGCGACAACCTCCTCCATGACATCCACAACCATCGTTGACCATCGACCACCATCGTCCATTGCCACCTCACCTCTAACATAACCACCACCACAACTACTATCTTCACTGCATTAGCCACAACTACCTCCTCCACTGTTGTCAACCGCCACCACCACCATAATCTACCATCTTCACGTCCTCTATAACCACCGTCGTGTATGCATTCATTTATATGAAAATTGTGTAAAAATATTTATAAATTAAATTCTTTAATTATTTACTTTATTCATGTTAATTGTAACTATTATGTAATATTTAAAATCATCAAATAACTTTTGGGGGTAACTTGTCTAGTTCTGTCCCGTCCGGTCCTAGTCGTATCAAACACCAGATATACACTTGTTTTGTCCAGTCCCGTCCAGTCCTCTCGTCTTGTCTTGTCCAGTTTTATACAGTCGTGTACAGTTTTGTATATTCCTGTACAGTTCAGTTCAGTTCTGTCCTGTCCAATCAGGTATACGTACCAAACGCTACTTTTCTGTTTTACGGGTGGCACAACCTTACCCGGTTACCCTGCTCGTTTTTCCAATGAACCTGCTCCGACAACCTAGTCATCGTCGTCCTTCGCAAACTCATCTGGTATCACCCGTCCTCCCCCCCTTCCCTGCAACAATGAGACCCTCCATCCCGACTCCCTACTCCCTTTTCTCCGGCAAGACCTGCTACGTTCTCCCATTTTCTCATTGAGATGTCGTTGGAGGAGCAACTAGTCCAACTTCTTGAGCARCCGAGATATTGAAGAACGAACATTTGCTTGAATTCCTTAAGTCTAGTACTTAGCCGTAAAGGCAAGTCCATATCAAGGCTGCACGTGAATCTGACTCTAAAATTTTTAGAAGCCTATCGCTTTTGGCGGATTTATTGTTTTTATCTAGCTGGTGTTGATGCTGCAGCAAGCGAGTAGGGGCGAACAATCAGGTGTTTGAACATAACTTCGATTGGGCGAGAGGTGTAAGCACCGCGAGGTGTGAAGCGATCTCATACCGCATTGCAAGCTACCTTTTGTTAACCCGGTTCTAGCTGCAAGAAAACAGAAAGGAAACACGAAAAACAAAAACCATCATGACCCCCTACTTCCCTCATCGGTCCAGATCCAAATCTTGTAAAGAATCTCGATGGTGCAGGTGTCTGAGAAGGATTTCGTTTCTCCCACTACGGTGTAGGTGTGTGTTGCATCCAATAGAATTTTCACGGTGCGGGTGTGGGTTTGGGTTTCTTCAAGCATTAATCTTCAAGGATCGATTTGGGTTTCTTCGTTTGGATTTGAGTTTCTTAAGGGATTGATTTGGCATCTTCAAGGATCAGTTTTGGGTTGCGTTTCTTCAAGGATGGATCTTGGGCATCTTCATGATTTCTGGATTTTTTTGTTATTCAAATTATTTGATTTGGAATTAGATTTTTGATCTAACAATATTTTGAATAAAATTATGTATTCTTCAAACTGATTTTTTTTTTATATTCTTAAAGTTGCTAGTGTGTATTTTATGGTGGCCGGATTTAGGGTACCGGCCAAAGAAGATGACGGGAGTAGGGAAGTGGCTGGCAATGGAGCGATGGGGGTAGGGTGTGAGGTGGGGACATCAGACATGTGGCATAAATTAATTGGATGATATATATTTTTTAAATAATGGCTAAAATTAAGATCAAAATATCCCTCCTTTTAAGGGAACTTAGCTTCATGACTTCCATTCCATTGCAACGAAAGTGAAACCACATGGTATCCATGAATTTTAGGTTCTAGGGACCACCATCATAATTCGCACCAAACCACATAAAAGAAGATTTGCGTACTCTTGAATAAATATTGCATAACCATGATCTTAACTGATTACTACAACAAAAATAGTCTATAGAAGTATGTACCCAAAGATTTGAAGAACTTTGGTAAAGGTTTTATATATGCTTTTTAGTTTTGTCAAAAGTATCACTATATAATGGTAGTGACAGGTCTTAGCAACACTTCTCTAAACAAAACTTTTTAGATACACTTTTTTTGACTTTTAGAAACATATCTGAGCCTTTTTAAAGTTGTTTGAATTTTCTTAAAAAACCGTTATTGAAGATGCACGTTCAAGAAACTTTTTAAGCATAGTGACAATTCTAAAATACATGGTTCAGTTTTAGTACAAACACCCCTCCAATATCATACTATATTGGCTTCACCAGAAGTTCCAACCGACATCGTTGTGGCGACAATTTTGTTCTTTGCTTGTAATGTCATACATTCAACAAGAATGTGACTTTTCTTTCTTTAGATATTGCAAAAACTTTTACATCGATATATTGATTTTGATTTCCCATAAGAATGTGAGCTCTTTCCGAGTGATCTTCCTCTTGCATTTAGTCCTTCGATATTTGGGAATTACTTCTTCAACTCAAAGAAGATACATCTCTTTAAGAGTGAATGCAACTCTACAAGATATATGACTGAATCCGTAAAATAGGCAAAAGACAGTGATAAAGAACATAGCAAGATCAACCTTAAATCTTTCTCTTAAAATAACATATCCAAATTCTTCAAGTCAACGAGAATCTCCTCGAACTTTGAAATGCGTGCCAATACTGAATCACCTTCGGATAAACATTACACATTTGCTTCATGTAAGACCTACTGCGGAAACTCTTCGCCATAACCTCTAGAAGAATTTCATTAGACAAGTGCAAACTTATCAGAAATAAAACTCTTGAATCATTTAGTCGTTCTTTCTCATCTTCGGTCTAAGTTGTGGGCATATGTTCACGTCCCTATAGACAATTGTGTAAATTCATATCTCATCTTTATCTTCCGTGACGGAAATCTAATGTTCCTATATTAATGTTTAACAATAGTAACTGGCACTTAATTGATGCCATGATTTGGGTTCACCCGACAAACAATCCACCAATCCAACATTCAAATTCCTAATTAACATCAAATCCTTGAAGCTATGATACCAACTGTTGTGAAATTGGATAAATGAAGTTTAAAGAATTCAATATGTTGAAATTTAGTTTGACAGTCAAACTTCCCCAAGATCAAAACTACACATACTACTAATGTTGGTTTTACGTGGAGCAAACACAACATATGGAAATATAAAGCATAAGGAGAGAATGACATCAAAGATTTTTTTTATTTTAAACTCAGAAAGGGAAAAACCATGAACGGAGGACATCCACCATCAATACAATTGGTGTTACAATATAGCTGGTTAGTTAAGGAGGAAAGGAGCAGAGTAATGAAGAACATAACAAACAAACAACCCTAATATGGAAATAAAACCTGTGAGTCTTAGGTTAATGGTCAACATAATAGAGCTTCGACGTGAACTCAAACCGCGATAGTGTCGTGATTTATCCTGCAATTTTTTATATGAATGGGATTTATATGGTTTCTCGAGAGGTGCAAGTTTGATACATCTTACTCGAGAGCAACGAGTATTATATGATTTACTTTCATACATATATACATACACGCGTATGGTGTAATTTCAGTAGGGAGCACATTAATTGGAGGGGGGGGGGTTGAAATAACATTGGGGGACAAATGGTACCAAAAACAATAATTTTTCAAGTATTTTAGGCTCCATGATTAAGATAGAAGTATGAGATCAATTATGACGTGACTAATAACATAAAGACAGGGCTGAAGCGGAAAGTTGTCGGTTTATGGTTCATGAAGTTGCTCCATCATCAGTAGCTAAAACCAAGGTCGTAATCTATCCCATCCTTTAGGCGGGGATAGGTTCATAAGAGGACTTGGTTCAGAAGTTGCATCTTTCAGTACTGGGACCAAAAAATGGGGTTGATCGTGTTGACTAAAAAAGAGGGAGAGAAGAGAGCCTTGTAGGCTATTGATAAAAAAAAAGATTTCCTTCCCTTTCTCCCTAAAACTGTCTATAAGGCTAATTTAGCCTAGGGGAAAGGCTTTAGTTTGATTGCAGCTAGCGCACTTGACTAAGAAGATAGAAAGGGATTTTCTCGTTTCAGGATGGGAGTGACCCTTTCAGCTTGCTAGTCCTGTTCATTATCCAATTCGCTCCAATAGACATGCATGGTTCCGTAGTCAAAGCAACTTCATCATTTTCGTGTATCCATCAGGGGTTCTCTGCGTGTAGTGTTAGATTCCCCTGGATGGGTCTCGTAGGAGAGAGAAGGGATCATCTCCACTCAAGTTGTAAGGTCTAATCCCCTTATTACGGCTGAAAGAGAAGAGCAGGGGGTGGTAAGTTTAGTACGGCTCTCCCTCCGCTTTCTTAGGGCCCTCACTTCCTCACTTAACTCACTCAGATGGTTGCCACACTGGCGCTGCTTGTGCAGTCTTGGGAAATGGTTGCCGAGTATTGTGTCACAAGGTCCTTCTAAGTTTGGAAATCCTAAAATTGAAAGACATTCTATGTGTTAGCCTTCACACCAATTATGGTGTAGGAGTCAAAGCCTTGGGCGACAAGAAAGGTCCTTGAGAAAAAGTTAGAAATTGTAGAAATGAAGATGCTTAGATGGATATGTGGACAAACCATGTTGAAAACAATACCAAACAAGGTCTTTAGGGCAGAGTTGCGAGTTGCACTTATCATAAAAAATTGTGAGAGAAGATTGCAGTAGTTGGACACATTTGTATAAAACCTATGACATAGGAAGATAATAGAGAACACGATGGTTGAGTGGTGAGGAGGGATATACAGAGCAGTTGAGGATGAACATAACGACTTTAAATATGGACATGTAATTGCTTCATTAAATAAATATTCCATAACCATGATCTTAACTGATTTACTACAACAAAAATAACCTTTAGAAGGAAATTTTCTGTACCCAAAGATCTTTTGTAAAGGTTTTGTATATGCTTTTAGTTTCATCAAAAATAACCTTTTAGTTTAGCTGTAACCTCCCGATGAATTTCATTAGATAAGTGCTAATTTGTCAGAGATAAAACTCTCAAATCATTTAGTCGTTCTTTCTCATCATCGGTCTAAGTTGTAGGCATATGTTCACGTCCCAAAAAACATTTGTGTAAATTCATCTGAATTAAAACATCTCTCATCTTTATCTTCCATAACGAAAATCTAAGGCACATTTTACCATGCCTCGTCTAGGTTTACTCCGTGACTTACATGCCAGGCTAGGTCACATGTTGGATTTTAAGGCACTTTTTACATCAAGTATGGAGAATAGTGGTTTGTAGAGATCAAAGTCAAATAAACTGAGTATATGGAACCCCATGTTTACTCTTCAAAAGAGCCATTGAGGAAATAAAAGAGGTTCCAACATATATAAAGGGAAACTGGTCAAGACTAGTCGATATGAGATTTTAAGAACCCAGACAGAGTAATCAGCTCAAATTAATGAAGAGGTGATTGTAAAGTAGACCAACCCTAGAACCGTGGCCTATGTATATAGAGGTAATATAAATGACACAAATGAATGGGACTACCAAACCTAGACCTCTGGGATTTTCTTCTTCTTGGATCAAACCAAAATTTTAATTCGGACGGAATAAGTTGGGTTCAAGGTTAATACAATTGAACTTGGACCTGAACTCAAACCATGAAAATTGGATACATATGTTAAATTATAAGCCAAATCATCAACAAATCAGTTTGACTGTTAGTTGATCGTTAAGTTGGATGGCAGTTATGGGTTTCCCGCCAAAACTGCTTCTGAACAGTGGTGTTCCCTCCAACAGTTGCAACGTTTCTGTGTTTTAGTATTTAAGTGTTTTTGTATCCCTGTTTTCATTTGCGTGAACAGTTTTCAAAGATTGAAGTGTCTTTGTAATATTCTAAGTGTTCTTCAATAAAGAACCTGTTTATGTTGTGTATATGTTATTTCCATCAAATGGTATCAGAGCCATAACATAATATGGCATCGAGTTCTCTGAATGTTCTACAATCTCAGACTCAACTGCCTAAGTTAAATGGGAGGAACTACTTTCATTGGAGTATCCAGATGAAAGTTATGTTCGAATCTCAAGACTTATGGCAGATTATTGAAGAAGGAYTGATAGTACCCGAGAATCCTACTGCTTTAACCGCACCACATATGAGTGCACTGAACGAAGCAAAGAAAAAGGAAAAGAAGGCTTTGTTTCTGATTTATCAAGCAGTAGATGAACATATATTTGAAAGGATCTCTCTATCACAGACGGCCAAGGAAGCCTGGGAATTGCTGTTCAAATCATACAGAGGGGAAGAGAAAGTAAAAAYAGTTAGACTTCAAACCTTAAGATGCGAATTTGATAGCCTTAAGATGAAGGAGACAGAGACAGTTGAGGAATATTACACGAAAGTAATTGTGTTGGTAAATCAGATGAGACTGAATGGTGAGAGTATTAATGATAGACGAATTGTAGAGAAAATACTTCGTAGCCTTACACGCAAGTTTGAATATGTGGTGGTTGCCATAGAAGAATCAAAGGACTTGGAAGAMTTCTCTCTGGAAACATTATTAGGGACCCTGCAATCCCATGAATTACGCATGAAACAGTTCGACACTACAGTAATGGAACATGCCTTTCAAGCACAGTCTTCGTGGGAAGTAGGCACAAGTGACAGGCAAAAGAAAGTGGATGCACATAGAGAAGATCAGAATTATACAGTCTCCAAAGGCAAAGGAAAAAGTAGACCATTCTCTCAAATTAAATGTTATTACTGTGATAATTTAGGACACACAATTAAAGTTTGTAGAAAAAGGTTGGCAGAAGAAAATAGAGCATCAAACTTTATGCACAAAGAAGACAGTCATACTGATGACACAATGTTTATGATACTTAATATGCAAGAACCCACTCTTAGTGAACTTTGGTATTTAGACAGTGGTTGTAGCAACCACACGACAGGAAACAAAGAATTGTTTCTTACTTTAGAAGAGTCAGAAAAGAAGGATGTAAGGACTGGAGATGATAAAAAATTAAGTGTGCAGGGAAATGGAGATATTGCCATCAAAATTAAGGATAAGGATAAAAAAATTTCAAACGTGTTTTATGTTCCCGGCCTTAAAACATAATCTGTTGAGTGTTGGGAAACTTATTCAAAAGGGGTATGGTTTACACTTTAAGGATGGATTATGTGAGATAACTAACTCTAACAAATTAGTGATTGGAAGGGTAGTTATGACCACTAATAAAATGTTTCCAATAAAATTTGATGATGAAACTTTTTTTCTCCTTATCTGTTAGTACGAAAGAAGCTTCACTCCTTTGGCATAAAAGGTTTGGACATGTAAACCTCAACACCTTGACTCATATGTACAAAAATGAACTTGTAAAAGGTTTACCTTTAGTTGGTCCTTCGTCTCATGTCTGTGAAAGCTGTGCACTGGGTAAGCARTCTAGAGCATCATTTCCTCATAACAAYACATGGAGAGCAACAAAACAGTTGGAACTTGTCCATACGGATATATGTGGTCCCATGAAAACCCCATCCTTTGGAGGAAGTAAGTATTTTTTAACCTTCATAGATGACTTTAGTAGAAGAATCTGGATATATTTCTTGAAAGAAAAGTCAGAAGCATTTGCATGCTTTCTTACCTTAAAAGGCAATGGTTGAAAATCAGAGTGATTTCAAAATTAAAAATTTAAGGTCTGACAGGGGAGGTGAATATATTGGTCACGATTTTGAGGATTATCTAAGGAGTAATGGCATACACCATCAACTTACAACTGCCTACACACCCCAGCAGAATGGGGTGGCAGAAAGAAAAAATAGAACCATAGTTGAGATGGCAAGGTGCATGTTAAAAGGCAAACAACTACCTAATATCTTTTGGGCAGAAGCARTATCCTGTGYTGTTTATTTAATWAATAGATCCTACACAAAMAGCCTTACTRATAAGACCCCACAGGAAGCTTGGAATGGTTTCAAGCCTAGTGTCAACCACTTTAGAATCTTTGGTAGTATTGCCTATGCACACATACCAAAACAAAAAAGGAGTAAGCTTGATGACAAATCTGAAAAAGCAATCTTTGTAGGGTATAGCTATAATACCAAGGCCTACAAATTGTACAACCCTTTGACCAAGAAAGTAATCACAAGCAGAGATGTGACCTTTGATGAAGAAAGTACTTGGAAAGGTTTGACATATGAGAATGATGGGAGTTGTACTCTAGTTGATGAGTCATATGAGGATGACAAAAATACCCCTATTGAGCATAATGAATCCGAATGTATTGAACCTGCTACACCTATGAGAGATTCCTCTCTCAATTCAGAAAATACAACTCCTGGAAGCACCTCCTCTTCAAATGGATCAAATAGAAAAACCAGAAGCTTGACTGATCTCTATGAAAGTACTCAACCAATCAACATAGATCTCTTAGCTAATTTTGCTTTGTTTTCTGATGCAGACCCTTTAAAGTTTGAAGATGCTTACAAAGATCAAAAGTGGAGAGATGCGATGGACAGTGAGATGAATTCCATACTAAAAAATAATACATGGGAGATAGTTGAATTACCAAAAGGACAAAAGACAATTGGAGTAAGATGGATCTACAAAACCAAATACAATGAGAAGGGTGAAATAGATAAACACTAGGCAAGACTTGTGGTTAAAAGGTATAAACAACAGTATGGCATCAACTATCAAGAAGTTTTTGCCCCTGTGATCAGATTAGAAACTATTCGGTTGATTCTGGCTATAACTGCTTAATTCAATTGGCCTGTGTACCAAATGGACGTAAAATCAACATTTTTGAATGGATATATGGAAGAGGATATTTTCATTGACCAACCTGATGGTTACAAACGTAAAGGAGAAGAGCATAAGGTGTGCCACTTAAAGAAAGCTCTTTATGGGTTTAAACAAGCCCCTAGAGCTTGGTATAGTAGAATAGAAAGACATTTCTTCGATCATGGRTTCCAGAAATGTAATCATGAACATACCTTATTCATCAAAAAGGAAGGTTACTCTACACTTCTGGTATGTATTTATGTAGATGATATTGTGTTCACAGGGAGCTCCATAGAATTAGTTTATGAGTTTAAGGAATCAATGAAAAAGAATTTTGAAATGACTGACTTGGGTCTGCTTCATTACTTCTTGGGAATAGAGGCCTCACAAGGTAAGCATTCCATCTCGATATCACAAAAGAAATATGCTAAGGATCTCTTAGTAAGGTTTAACATGGATGATTGTCTGTCTGCTGCCACTCCTATGGAACCAAGATTAAAGCTTTCTGCAGGAAGCGGTGAAAGATCGATTGATTCAACATTATATCGAAGTCTTGTTGGCTGTCTTATGTATCTTACTGCAACAAGACCCGATATAATGTATGCTRTCAGTATGCTTAGTAGGTACATGGAGGATCCAAAATCAGGACAYTGGGAAGCCRCAAAGAGGGTACTGAKATACATAAAAGGTACGCTTGATCATGGAATCACTTACTCTTGTTCCTCCTCTTTCAAGTTAATTGGTTATAGTGATAGTGACTTTGGAGGGTGCTTTGAAGATRGTAGAAGTACAACAKGATATATATTYTGTTTGGGTACARGGGCAAWCTCATGGCAATCGAAAAARCAAAAKGTGGTGGCTTTGTCGTCSACAGAAGCAGAATACATGGCTCTTTCTTCCACTGGTTGTCAAGCTCTGTGGTTGAGAGGTATCTTGGAAGAATTAATCTTTCCACAAGAACTTCCAACACCGATTTATTGTGATAATAAATCTGCGATTGCTCTTACCAGAAATCCAGTCTACCATGGCAAAAGTAAACATATAAGAATTAAATTCCATTTTATTCGTGAGCTGATTCAACATGAAGAAGTTGATGTAGTGTTTTGTTCTTCAAGGGATCAAATGCCAGACACTACCAAAAAAACCCCTTTTTCCGGCGGCTAAATCCGCCGGAAATCCGCCGGAAATCCCTTTTTCATTAGAACGGTCCGTTATTGTCCAATACGGTCCGTTAAGGCCCAATACGGTTCATTAAAGCCCAATACGGTTCATTAGAACAAATACGATCCATTAAGGCCCAATACGGTCCGTTA